AGATTGACTTCTTTGAATTTTTTGAAGATTTTTCGGATGTGATCCATATGTTCGGAAAGAGATTTTGACCATACGATATTTGCGTTTCCCAGAAGCATCGAGTTTCTTCGGTACAATCCAGACGGGCGCAGAATATGGCGAAATAGAGGGTCGAATGATTTTATTGTCGAGTAGTTTCTGGATTTGAAGTTGAATTTCAACGTTCATACTTGGTGGGTGTCTAAAGGATTTTACATAGACTGGCCGGTCGTCTTTCGTTCGAATGATGTGTTTAGTTTGACTCGTAAAAGTAAGATCACAATCCTCGTGATACATAATATCTTTATATTCGTGGCATAGGGGCAAGAGTTTTGATTTTTCTAAAGGCGATAGGTGATCAAGCCTTAGTTGACTTTCAGGGTTGAATTTCGAGGGGCGATCGAACGGGGGATTTAATAGCTCGAATTGATCCTCAGGAATAACCCTAACTCTTTGGTGGAAATTAATTGAAACGTTTGGTACTGGGTTTGGAATTTTGCAAAATCCGTCATTTACTTCGACTAATGAATCGGGAACTATATGTTCATTAATACGGAACGAAGGGAGAAGAGCAGTTCCATTTTCTAAATTAACTGGGATAAGTAAAGATTTACTATTAAAATTATTGATTGGTTGATGCAGCGGTTTGTTATAGGCAAGTGAAAATGTAATTTTAATATTTTGTAAAGTAAGTATTTTATTTTCGTAATCAATCAATGCATTTAATTTTTTCAGATCTTTGGTTCCTATAAGCGCGTCGAAATCGTTATGCCAATTTAGTACACGAAAATTAAAATTTAAATTAATCCCTAGTTCTTGTAATAGTGGAATTTTTAAATTTTTATCCTCCTTGTATACTTATTTACATGCCTTAACTTCAAAGGGTTCAATAAATTGATTTAGTGGATATAAATTGGCTGTTTTTGGCGAAATTATTGAGTCGGAGGCGCCGGAATCAATGAGTACCGTGATTTGTTTTTCAGGAAGGTAAAAATAAGGAAGTTCGATTTGTTGGGCTACGTTGTTTAAATTAATTCTAGATGGGAGGCTACGTCCTGAAAATTTTCGGGAATTTCCTCGTTATTTTCGACATTATTATCGAAATCTGAATTTGGGTCGGAAAGGTTGTAGTCGTGATGAACGGGTTCGCCGTTATAAATCTGGGAATGATCATAATGATCAGTATTTTGAAAGGGTTCCGAGGTTTGATAGGATGGAGTTTGGTCATAATCGGGGTGAATTTCGACATTGTGAAGTTTTTGAGAAACAAAGAGTAGATATATAGTGCCGATATAAGCAACAGAAACCGTACATAACCTCAATTTCCTAACCCCCCCGCAGCGGGGGCCCCCCCCGCGCGTGGCGTCCTAGTGTCCCCCCTGTCTACCAGAGTGCGCTCCGCCCCCCACCCAGCTTGTGTAGCGTCCTGTTTTGCCTCGGTTCCGCCCGTCGCTGCTAGATGTCGCGCGCTTGTGTCGCCGGCTTGTGTAGCGTCCTGTTTTGCCCCGGTTCCGCCCGTCGCTGCTAGATGTCGCGCGCTCCGACCGTCGTAGGCCCCCCCCGGTAGAGGGCGGTGACGGTGCGGCGCGGAGACGGTGTGGCGCGGTGACTCGGGTGATCGGGTCGTCGGTAAACAAGTCGAGTGACTTATACAGAGTGTCTCAATAATCACGGTTTAATAAAAGAAAAACAATAGATACAATAGTAAATATTTATTAGCTCATATGTAGACAACGTAATGCTTCGTACAAACGGTGTTTCTGGTCCATGAGATTTTCTACTTCATCGCGGTCGAGGATAATTTCGTCGCCATGATCCTGTTTCAGTATCAACTCACAGCTCTCTTCTTCGTTCGAATAGGTCACCTCGATACTGCTCCCGATGTAGACTGTTATGTCGTTCCAGAACATGATTTCTCCCACCTCGTCCTCCAGAAAGAACAAAAAATCCCAAAAATCCTGGACTTGAAAATCTATGTGCTTGTTCTTGAAGATGAAACGGACACCTGAATTCTTTATTTCGAAAATCGTGTTTTCATCGACTGACTGACTTCGGTATCAAATTCAAATGCACTTATATATCAACAACCCCCCACTATCGGTGTAATTAAGCGAGATATTTACATTTAGTCAATTTGAATAAGCATTTTGCCAAAAGAAACAAACAAGCGCACGTAGTTACATATAGCGGGATTAAAATAGTTTTTCGATCTGCCGAGATATTGTATTCGTTACCGCAATTGTCTTTAACGCCGCCGCTGGTGTTATTGGAATTCTTGATAGCGATCGTTTGCCATTCGCCGTGGTCTTCGTAGCTCCGGTTCGCGAAAACGAAACGTACCTTGTAATTTAAATACGGCTTATCTGCGGTAGTGTTATTCGACAATGTCACGCTAAAAGTTTGTAGCTTGTCGATTCCGTTGACCTGAGCGAGTTGCATACGCGTCCACGTATCGGGCCAAATGCACCGATTATTATGATTTTTGAAACAAACGAACGCTTCAATCACATCCTTAGGTTTATGTATATAGAAAACGTTTTGTACCACAGCCGACAACAAAACAAAGTGAGCACTTAACAAAACCATGTTTCTAGCCCGAATGAATCTATCCTAGATCTCGGTAACTGCTTTTATAACACTCAAACAATAATGACATTTATTCTGGGGAGGTGCCGGGCCGTCGATATGCATTTTGCTGTCCGGTCTGTTATAGTGAACAAAGCAGGGCAAATGAGTTTGCAATTCAAAATTGTTGCGATGTCGTACTGGTAACTTATGCCACATATTTAACAAATCGTGCGGTCTCACATGCTCCAAGAAATGTTGCACAGGAATCAATTCAAGTTGTTCGGTATCCAAGCTTCTAAAATCGTCGAAGAAAACTATCTTCTTATTCATTGTTGTGAAAGATCGATAACTTTCTTAACAAATCCCTAATTTGTTTAAAGACACTCTCTGTGGGACAATTAATTCCGACAAGACTCAAGTCTATTTCACCGACTCTCGTTAATTTATTCAAAAATTCGTTGTATTCGTAATACGTTTTCTCTTTGAAAAAATACAAATGTCCGTTGGTGTATCGAAACGCGCCCGACAAATCGTCGGGCAGACCCGGAAACAGTTCCGTAGTAAAACCGTGTTCACTCGCACTCAAAGAACACTCGTCTATTTCTGCATAGTAGCGTTTACCGTAAAATATATACGTTCGACCGCCATACGTATTAAAAATGGCGTTCACTGTTTTACCCGCAGGCACACCCAGTCGCTGGACGCTTTGTCGGTCGCCCACTACCGTGAAACTCGGGAAGTGAAGTAAATAAAACGAATCACCAGTGACTACCAAAAGTTGTCCGTTGGGTCTTTGGTAGATATGCGAAATAGGAGCGTAAATAGGGACATAATCTGATATCATTTTAGGTTCCATGTAGACTTTATCACCTAATCTTATTATCCAAACCCATTTGTCGTAAAATAGATACATATGATGGTTAGATGTAACCAAAAATATGGATGGATTTACGTGACACAAATCTGGTACTTTTGTTTCGTTTTTCCCTATCGGAGGTTTCGTAGTTGTAGTAGTAGTGGTAGTGGTAGTTGTTGTTGTTGTAGTCGGAGTTGTTACGCTGGCGGTGGTTGTGGTTTTTTTACCATATAAACGTTGAAGACCTGCAACATCGTCGTATGACAATGTCTTAGAATTTAAGCTATACCAAGGGTACATAATGGCATTGCGATCGTTACTGTGCGCCAAACCCAACGTATGTCCAATTTCGTGGAACAACACAGTAAACAAGCTCGTCTTTCCTCCGGGCGCAGGCACTTCTAAACCGTAGTACCAATCTTCGGATTTATCCAAATGAACTTCCACGCACTCTTGTTGTTGATTTGGAAAAAATGCATGTCCTAATATGTTACCCCTTCCGTCGAAAGCAAAAGGGCAGGATTCGTTCCCTTTACATCTTATGCTTTGTCTGTGGGTAGTATATTTGTCAGACATCAAAATCATTATATCCGGCTCTGAGTAATTTAAGAAAAAATTTAAATTTGATTCATCACTCCATATTTTAAAAACCTCGGTTGCCAGCACTTTTAACTCTTGATAGTGACTGGGCGGTACTTGAATATACCAATTTAAATCCGTTTTCTGCCATCGCGATACAGTCGTGAAGGCATTTTCTATTACACCACATCGGGGTTTATTTATTAGTTCGACGGTTTCGTTATTAAGAGTACCATCCACCGGTAAATTATAGAAATCCTGAAAATCTATTAGGGCACGTTGCAAACTCGACGCATTGATCTGCGTTAAAGATTCGTTGTCGTTAGGTGAAAGGAATCCGAATTTTTGCAAATAATCAATCACACCTTCCTCGGGCAGCGCGGCGACTATCGTCGACACGTCCGAACAGGTAGTAAAGACAGCGTAGCATAGCAACAAGACTCTCATCTCGTTCAAGGTCAGTAAAATAATGTATTCGGTTCCTAGCTAATCTTTTATAGGTAAAATAACAAAGAGAAGTGATGAACCAGTGTGCGAAGGTCTGTCGTTGTAGAACGCTCCAGACGTTATGTTACTATCTACACGCTTGTAAACTCTAATTTATTAAGTGTGATTATAAAATCTGACTTTTGTAGTCGGGGTTACAATTATATATACAATGATTAAATATTAAATGGCGGGGCTGCGGCGTCGGTTCGCTCTAGTGGACGGTCACTGTACCAGGTCCTTGGGACGTGGAATGTTCCGTGGTCGTGGATTGGATTGGCTGCTGTAGTCGAACGTTTCTCGAATAATTTCCGAGTTTGTACTGCGGATCTTGTCGAAGAAACGTCTTGAAGTATCGACTATGTAGTCGGCGATTGAGGGCGTGTTTAGCTCTCGCCGGAGTTGTTCGTTCCTCGCGAACCAGGGCGCGTTTACGATCCACCTGAGCGTTGTGCTTTGAAGGGCCTCTAGGTCCTTCAATCTGTGGTGCGGAGCATACGCCCAGGCTGGGGATGCGTATAGGACTGCCGGTCTGATGATTTGTTTCCAAATCATCATCTTGTTCCTGACCGACAGTCTGCTGGTTCGCGCGAGCAGCGGGTAGAGCTTCCCCCTCAGTGCGACGCCTTTACTTCTCGCCACTTTGTAGTGGTCGTTCCATGTGAGTTTCTTGTCGTAAGTAAGACCTAGATAACTGACTGTTTTTGACCATTTAAAGGCTGTGCCGTTGACGGTCAGCTTCTTTTCCGGGTTCCTGCCTTTGCCGTTCTTGCGGGCGAATAGGATGGCTTGCGTTTTTTCGCCATTTATGGCAATCTTCCATTTATTCGCCCACTCGGCGATGTCGTCAAGATGACCCTGGACCCGTTTAACCGCCCATGCCCGGGTTTTGGCCGACGCGACGATGGCTGTATCGTCGGCAAACTGGTAGTTGGCGGTCCTGGGGTCCTTCGGGAGATCGTGGGCATACAGGTTGTACAACAGCGGTGCAAGCGGGGAGCCTTGCGGGACCCCCGCGCTGATGTACTCCGGAGCTGCCAAGTGATCCTCGACGTGTACCTGGAAAGTCCTGTCTTCCAGGTACGAACTGACGAGTCTCACTATGTGTAGCGGGACGCCGTTTGCGTACAGCTTGTGCACCAGCCCCGCGTGCCACACCTTGTCAAATGCCTTGGAGATATCCAACAGGGCCGCTGCTGCGACGAACCCTTTCCCCAGCGACGCTGCCACTTGCTCCGTGAGCCGGGTGGCTTGGATGGACGTGGACTTCCCCCGGACGAAACCGAATTGTTCCTCCGGGATCAGCGTCGCTATCTGTGGGGTTTCCCTCAGTCGATCGAGGATGATCGCCTCCGCTAATTTCCCCAGGGAAGAGAGCAGACTAATCGGGCGGTAGCTTTCCGGGTTCCTGGCCGGTTTGCCCGATTTCGGGATTAGTATGATTTTTGCTCTCTTCCAGGCTTTGGGGAAATATTGTGTGCGGCAGACCGCGTTGACAATGTTGGTGATTTCCGCGATCTGCTTCCTCGGGAGGTGGCTGAGGGCGGCGTTGGTGATGGCATCCAATCCAGGGGCTTTCTTCCTTTTAAGGCGTCTTGTAAGTGTGGCTACTTCCTTGGGCGTGACGGGGGCGAATGTGCTGACGGCTGCGGTCGAGCGGACTAGAAGCGCCGTTTGACGGGACGCTACGTCGAGGCTTGCATGCCGGCCCACTCTTACGTTCTCTGTGAACTGTTTCACTAGCGACCTTGAGAAAATGGCGGCTTTTTGCTCAGGGGTCGTAGCAGGTCCATCCTTGGACGCTAAGATCGGGATCTTTCTGCTACGCCCTTTTGTTAGCCTGTGGGCCATGTCCCAAGGCCCTATGTCTTCTTCGTTTATACGGTCCAGTCTGCACTGCCATATTTCCTGCCTCAGCTCAGCGAGCTCCCTCTTGACCTGGCTCGAGAGGCGGTTTGCCTCCCTCTTGATGGCCGGGTCGAGGGTAGCTCTGGCTCTCCTGAGCGTTCTGTTCCTGCGCCTGACCAGTAGTTTCAGTTCTGGGGGCAGGCGCTCTGCGAACTGGGGCTTTGCTGAGCAGGACGTGGCCTTATGTAAGGCATCCGTGATGTCGCGGGTGATTTTGACAATGGCTGCGTCGATGTCGGCCGGTGAATCGATCGTCGGGATCGGACCGGTGTCCCGAAGCTCATCTTGGAAGGCGTTCCAGTTTGTGAACCGCCTGAGCTTCGGGGGGTCCTCCGGGGCCGGACGGTTGTCGAATCTGACCAGAATCGGCAGGTGGTCCGACTGGAGCTCGTGTAGCGCCTGGATGTGGTGCGTCCTATCCAAGTGTTGGATCAAAAAGTGATCCAAGTTGGAAGGACGACCGTGAGCTGGGTAGTGCGTGGGCTCCGCGGGGGAGATGATCGAGATGATCCTCGACTCGAGGAGGTTTTTAAGCCCCTTCCCCAGCGGATTTGTTGTTGTGTGCCCTAGTTCTTCGTGCGCCGCGTTCAGGTCCCCCCCTAGGATAAGGGGGCTGTCGTCCTGCGCGAGGATCGCTCCATAGTCGTCTGCAGGGAACCGTGTTGTGGGCCTGCAGTATATCGATGCGATCCTCCATGGGGGCCCCGATCTCATGTGGACGGCCACCTGGACTGTCTCTAGGTGGCCCAACTCCGGTGCGGGGATCTCTTGGTGTTTGATGGAGCGTTTGACCGCTATGGCCACGCCGCCCCCGGGTCCTGACGTCCTGTCACTCCTGTAGACCACGTAGTTGGGGATGTGGAACTTGTCGTCCCCCTTGAGGAATGTTTCCTGCAAGAGGGCAACGTCCACGTCGTGGTCTTGGAGCGACTCCGCTAACTCTAGGCCCTTTCCTGTAAGGGAGTTAGCGTTCCATGCAAGGACGGAGATCGTGGTCGGGCACCTTTTATTGTCCATTCACAGTTTGTACTGGGGCGAACTGGACCGGGAATCGTGTAGCCCAACTTTTGAGGCACTCCTGAGTTATCGCCTGGACCATTTGTTGGAACATGGCGTCCGAAAGTCCAGGCGGGAGCGGGGATTGTGCGGTCTGTACCGGCGCTGGTTGTTGCGGTGTTGGAACTGCCTGGCGCGGTGCGGTGGCCGTACGCGCGTAGGACACTCCGGGTTGGCGGGAGCTGGCTGCCTTGGCTGCGTTGACGGACGCGGCCCTAGGTGGTGGGCGAGTGGGGCAACACCTGGCGTTGGCCGTGTGTTCCCCTCTACAGTTGGCACATCTGCCGGGCGTTGAACGGGACTTTTGGCAGTCCTCGGTCCTGTGACCGGCACCGCATTTGACGCACTTCGGCGGCGCGGTGCATCTGGACTGATTGTGCCCGAACAACTGGCAGTTGTGGCACTGGGTCACCTCGTTTCTTTGTTTCAGCGACTCTACCTTGATCTTTAGGCCCAGGAAATTCTGGACCTTGTAGATGGATTTCTGCTCGCGGGGCAGTATGACCAGCACCATCGCCATCGGGATCTTCTTGTTTCCGGCTAGTTTGGTCATTCGCACGATTTTTGAGGGTTTGTACCCCAAAAAGTGCAGTTCCTCGACCAATTCCTCGGAGGGGATCTTGTCCGGGATTCCTTTCAGTACCACGTGCAGGTTCCTCTCCTCCTTTAACTGGAAGGTGTGGTATGGCACCTTCCTGGAGTCGAACAGCCTCGTGATACCTCGGAAGTCGTCGATGCCCCCGGGAACAATCCGGACGCCTTCCGCCGTGTTGCGGGCCGAGGTGAATTGGAGTTTGTTGGCCTTTATCATCCGGGAAATTTGAACCCAATTTTCATTATCCCTAATGATAATTGGGGGGACGCTGACTTTCTTCGGGGGCATGGGCGCTGTGCCCTTGGCCCCCGCGGAAGCGGCCGGGGCGGACGACGTGGAAGGCATCGGCTCGGGGGTGGTCGGGCGTGCCGGCTGCGATGCCGTGGTCGGGCGTGCCGGCTGCGATGGCGTGGTCGGGCGTGGCGGCTGCGATGCCGCGGTCGGGCGAGACGGCTGCGATGTTGTGGTCGGGTCGCTTACCTTGGCGGGTGGAGGCTGGGTGTTGGCCCGCGCGGCTTCTGCGCGAGCTCTGCCGGCCTTGGAGAGCGAAGGGATCGCCGGCGTATATGGGGTAGGCCCTTTGGCCGCCTTCTTCTTGGGGAGGGCCGGGTAGCCCTCCTTCTCCGTTGAATTGCGCCGCTTTCTTGTCGATTCCACGTCGGAGTATTCCATCTCGGAATCAGATGAGACTGGCGCGCGGGTTTTCGGCTCGGAAATTTTGTCCAGGACCTTATCCAGCGTGGCCTGGATCTTCTTGGTCTGTATCCCTTGTTCGTGGAGGGCGGTCCGCATCTCCGCGATTGTTCGTTGGTGCTCGGCGATCTGTTGCAGCAATTTGTCTACTTGCGCACGCAGTGCCTTGTTCTCTTCCGATTTCCTCCTACTAAATTCGGTTAGGTCTTCGTATGAAGGCTTCGGCATCGTTGTTGGTTCGTCGTGGCAGCCTTCTTCGGGGTCTCGTTCGGTTTCCCGAGCGTTCATTTCGTAGATAATTTTCCCGCGAAGCGGGAAAAGATGCACTTAAAAGTACAGTTTTGGCGAGGTATTTTAGGTACACTCGCACTGGAAGTACTTTACTATCTACACTCGTCTATTTCTGCATAGTAGCGTTTACCGTAAAATATATACGTTCGACCGCCATACGTATTAAAAATGGCGTTCACTGTTTTACCCGCAGGCACACCCAGTCGCTGGACGCTTTGTCGGTCGCCCACTACCGTGAAACTCGGGAAGTGAAGTAAATAAAACGAATCACCAGTGACTACCAAAAGTTGTCCGTTGGGTCTTTGGTAGATATGCGAAATAGGAGCGTAAATAGGGACATAATCTGATATCATTTTAGGTTCCATGTAGACTTTATCACCTAATCTTATTATCCAAACCCATTTGTCGTAAAATAGATACATATGATGGTTAGATGTAACCAAAAATATGGATGGATTTACGTGACACAAATCTGGTACTTTTGTTTCGTTTTTCCCTATCGGAGGTTTCGTAGTTGTAGTAGTAGTGGTAGTGGTAGTTGTTGTTGTTGTAGTCGGAGTTGTTACGCTGGCGGTGGTTGTGGTTTTTTTACCATATAAACGTTGAAGACCTGCAACATCGTCGTATGACAATGTCTTAGAATTTAAGCTATACCAAGGGTACATAATGGCATTGCGATCGTTACTGTGCGCCAAACCCAACGTATGTCCAATTTCGTGGAACAACACAGTAAACAAGCTCGTCTTTCCTCCGGGCGCAGGCACTTCTAAACCGTAGTACCAATCTTCGGATTTATCCAAATGAACTTCCACGCACTCTTGTTGTTGATTTGGAAAAAATGCATGTCCTAATATGTTACCCCTTCCGTCGAAAGCAAAAGGGCAGGATTCGTTCCCTTTACATCTTATGCTTTGTCTGTGGGTAGTATATTTGTCAGACATCAAAATCATTATATCCGGCTCTGAGTAATTTAAGAAAAAATTTAAATTTGATTCATCACTCCATATTTTAAAAACCTCGGTTGCCAGCACTTTTAACTCTTGATAGTGACTGGGCGGTACTTGAATATACCAATTTAAATCCGTTTTCTGCCATCGCGATACAGTCGTGAAGGCATTTTCTATTACACCACATCGGGGTTTATTTATTAGTTCGACGGTTTCGTTATTAAGAGTACCATCCACCGGTAAATTATAGAAATCCTGAAAATCTATTAGGGCACGTTGCAAACTCGACGCATTGATCTGCGTTAAAGATTCGTTGTCGTTAGGTGAAAGGAATCCGAATTTTTGCAAATAATCAATCACACCTTCCTCGGGCAGCGCGGCGACTATCGTCGACACGTCCGAACAGGTAGTAAAGACAGCGTAGCATAGCAACAAGACTCTCATCTCGTTCAAGGTCAGTAAAATAATGTATTCGGTTCCTAGCTAATCTTTTATAGGTAAAATAACAAAGAGAAGTGATGAACCAGTGTGCGAAGGTCTGTCGTTGTAGAACGCTCCAGACGTTATGTTACTATCTACATGTATCGTTCGCACTTTTATTATATCCACGGGTAAATCTGAGGAATGCATAATATTGGACTCCAAAATTTTCTGTGAAAACCCCAATAATTTTCCGATACTGTCCGAGTGTTGTTTAAAGTTTACCCCGTATACGGGGCTGTAGATTTCACACTTTATCGTATTATTGTTGGGTTTGATTGATATCTCCTCTATTAACTTTGGGATCGTATTCTTCTCTTCCTTATTTTTTGGCAGATGTTCGTTAATGTAGGTTTCAATGTCGCTAATTTCATAGGACCCGGTCGGAA